AGTTCAAAGCCCATGAAATAAATAGTTAATGGTTACTAAACTTATTTTTCTCTCATTATTTCTGTTGTATGTTAATCCATAAGATAAAGGAATGGAGGAGTGTTGGCTGGTCATATGAATGACCAGGTAATAGAAAGTCCTTAAAGCCCAGCCTATGTTGGGTTTTGTGTAAGACAAAGGTCAACTTTATTGAAATAAGACAGAGATTTGAGAGTTCTGACTATTGAAGTAGCTAGGGGCAATTACCTTACAAATCTTTGTAAAAAGGCTGGAAAGCCTCAGAGAGCAGATCAGCCATGTGACTACTCATGTTCAAAGAACCAGGAAGCACAGGAAATGACCATCTAGGATGCAGCTGTATCACAGTACTTTGGTAAGTGGTGTGCAGGATGACACTTAAATAACGTTGGCAGAAACTCACACCTGAAGCCTGCAAGTGCATGTGACTATTTATCGCCTCAAAGGAGTCAACATTTTTTCTATCCTCTTTTGCCTTTGAAATCTCACATAACTGAGTCATGTTGTCACATTCTAAATCCCACTGGTATAGGATCTAGGAAATAGAGTTCCCATGCTTTCTAGTGCTATAATGCCAGGAAAAGACAGTAGAGCATGGCCAAAAGACAACCTCATTCATTTGGTGGCCTAGTTTATAGATCCCAATTTTTCTGGAAGAGTTGACCCAGAGTAGTTAGTAGTAGCATTCTATTTTCATCTCAAAATTTTCCTGTTTTCAGCCTCAATGACATGTCTCTCTACCTATTATTAACATGATAAAAACATGTCATTCATTTTTCGATTATACTAAGTGCTAATCATTTTGCTAAGCACCAAGCACAGTGGTGAACAAATTATAGTTGTTCCTGGTCTACATGAAATTTAAGAGTCCTGTCTTAGGTTATGAATAGACCTACATAAAGCAGCAATACAGAGATGCTGTAAATTTGAATTAATAAAATAATAAACACAAATCTTAAAGGGTCAAATGAATTTGGATTGATTATGAAGAGTTTGAGAGACTGTGAGATATCCAAGTGGAAATGTCTCAGTGTCTCATAGACAGCCCAATATTTGAATCTGGGGCTCAGAGTTCTGACCATCTCATAATACAGAAAGTATTCAAGTTGATTTCAAAAGTCCCCACAGTCTTTAACAATTCCAATCTTGTTTAAAAAGTCTGTCTCTTTTGAGACTCAAGGCAATGTCTTAACTTTAAGCGTCTATAAAATAAAAAGGGAAATATACATTTCCAATCTGCAACATCACAGAATAAACATTCCCATTCCAAAGGTAATGCACGAAAGACTGAAACCCAGCAGGGCAAATGCCAGATCCTGCAGCTGTGTCCAGTGTCTGGAGCTTGTGATAAAATGATCTGGTCTCAAAGGGGTTGGGTGCTCCCTTTTCCCAGCTCTGCTGCCTGCAGCACACAGAGCCCCTGCCTTTCGTAGGCTTCTCTCCTTACATTCAGCTTTCCTCAGCAGGCGTCCCATGGTCCTACCATCCCCAGTGTCCTGGGAGGTCTCCATTGCAGCTTCTGCTTCACAGTTTCCTGTGGTGGCCTCCTCTCAGGTACTCCTAACAGAGATGCAAACCTACCACACATTGTCTGGCCACAATGGTTCTCTGGAAACATAATGCAAGACACTATGATCTCCCTCAGCAATGCCCCATAACCCCCTCAATCTTGTATATTTTATGCCTGCAAAATTGGTACTATGTAAATGATGGTGCCAAGTTCTGCTGCCAGCTGAGGATGCAGCCTGTTCCCCTTGGACCACAGTTGCATCAGCTTCTGTGTGCTGACCTTGAAGAAACGTTTCCCTAAGCAGTTGCTTCTGAAAAACAGAGAATACACTCAATGGCAAGTATCAGTTGCTTGACTTGTTGCTGTGATCAAATACTAAAAAAAAATTTGAAAAAAGAAGAGTTTATATTCGCTCATGGTTTTAGTGAATATTGTCCTTCCGAGCAGGGAAGGTGTGGTGGCTAGAACATGAGGCAGTTGGCCACATTGCCTATGACATCAGGATGCAGACACATGACGACTACTGTTCAACTCCCTTTCTCCTCTTTAACCAGTCCATGACTACAGCCCATGGGATGGTGCTGCCCACCCTTAAGACAAATCTCCTGTCTCATTTAATGTATTCTTTAAAAGTCCCTTATAGAGATGCCTAGATGTTGGTTTCCATGATAATTCTAAATCCTGCCTAGTTGATTAACAAGACTAACCCTCAGTGGGAAGGGAGCAGTCTGATTAAATCAATAAGGGTAGAGGTGAGACTGAGGTGCTATGACAGGTAGGCCCTGAAATACTCATCTTTCATTTGGGACATTTTGCTTTGAAAGAAAGGATTTGTTGGCCTTTAAAAATGGAACACATATGACCATTTGATCCCAGAATCACACAAAGGATTTGAAAGCTGGGAAAGGAGTTAGACTACATGACCTTCAAAATCTTTTACCTTCTTAAGTATTTGTTTCTCTGGTTCTTACTTAATAACTACCCAGGTTGAGCTTTTATAGTCATAGGCTGGTATCAATAGGGCAAAGAATCAGTCACCTTAACAAATTTAAATTTGTTTTTATCATACAAGTCTTTAGTAAAATATCATAAAGTTAGGGGCCCAAAATGTACATTGACACAGAATATAGGAAAGAATAGGACCCTTGACTTTTTTTATTTCATAAGCACTACTTTTCATTAAGATTTATTTTGTAATTGATTCCTCTGTTTAACCAGTTGTGTGTTCTAAACTACAGTTGGTAATTTTGACTAATTTTATTTCAGGCCTGTTTCTAGCTTCTCACCCAAAATAATGATTAAATGATGAGGTCATGACATTGAGGGGACTTACTGAATGACAATTGCTTTCAAAGACTTGAACATTTCCCCCGAGGGACCTGGCAGGTTTATTGACTAGAACAGAGTTAGCTTGCTACTAGTAGAGTGAGGTAGGCCACCATCTGGAAATATACTACATGAGGAGCACCTGGTCCTGTTTATGAAATGTCCCAGGGTTCTCATCACTCACCTCCAATCCTGCTAGGGCATGAGAGGACTAAATTTATAACTGAGTCTTAAGTCTGTATTGCAGCCTTTCATCTAGAATTGTCTGTTTGGGAAGTCTCTCCAAATGTTTTCTTAGCTTCAAGAGAAAAACCTCTCCCAGAGATACCTCAATCTTGATTGAAAATAAAATAAAATAAAATAAAACAACCTCTCACAAAGTCTACTTTTAGTTTCTCCTCCACCAATCAAGGCCAGTTAGCAGGGTGGATTGAAGCTCATAAAGCTGCTTGTGCTGCCTTATTAGAAAACTCACTTCACCTAGAAGAGTCAAAGTCCACATAGAGACAGACTCTAGGGAACTAGAACAAGGTTATTTTTCTCCAAGGAGTCCAAATCCTATAATTTCACTTTCTTCTGGCTTTGACCACACACAGATTTTTGCCGACTTGATTGAGTAACACTGGCTGACCATTTCTCTAAGGAGACTGATGTCTGTGGTTCCTAGCGAATTAGAAATTTCCAGATTATTTATGTCACTTTGTTTTTATGCCTTTTTTTACAGCCTTTTTGTGATTATATTAAAGATTAGTTTTCTTTAATTCCAACTAGTGAATTGAAAGATGAACCTTTGACATTAGAGTTGGTTTTAAAAATACAAGCCTCATTTCAATGAATATATCATAAAACTGTTCTAATTCAGCAACATTCAATGTGAAAACATGGGGTTTGGGGGAAATTAAAGAGCTGTAGCAGCCATGGCAATTTCACCTGGTCCATTTGTGGGCCTTACTCATTACTCAGTATTCACCCATCTGTTCTTCATTAACACAACTCACTCATAGTTACTGGCAGTGGTACTAAGTCTTAGGTTCTTTTGCTAAACAAAGGACAATGAAGACTAACTGGTGACAGTTGTTGCATTTGAGTTTGAAGAGCAGTCATTTATTATGACTTTAGGATTTTTTTTTCAAAAGACTTTCAATCTTTACCTCTAAGTAAATTGAATTTCAAATTGAGAAATATAATAAATGGCATCTTATGAAGTCTGAATCCCCCCAACTCCTATTCCCCAACCTCCACCCTCTCTCTGTGTTCTACCCTAGTCTTCCATTCCCTTGTATATATGTTTCTGTCTATCTTTGCATACCATGCTGGTCTAATTACCACAGGATGTTATGACCAAGGTGGAAAGAAATGTAAGAGTCTTAAGTCCTCATACACACAAAATCACAAAAATTTGTTAGCCACCAGCTTAGTTAAAAAGGCAATCTTCTGATTCAGTGAGAGATCCTGACTCAAGGCAATAAAAGAAGAGGAATAGATGGAGTCATCTGATGTTCTGTTCTGAGCTTTGAATGCACATGCATACTCACATGCATACACCACACAAACATACATCACACACACACACACACACACACCACCACCCACAAATAAATAATAAATAAATAAGTAAAATATATAAGAATAGAGAGCTGAAGGTATAGTTCAGTGATTTAGTGTATAACTTACAATGCATAGGGTC